GCGTCTTCGATGTATAGATTAAAAAGTAGCGGTGACAGTGTGCATCCCTGGCTGACTCCCTTTTTAATATTTACTTCCCTACGTTGCATCTCCAGCTCTATAACTGCCTGTTGCTGTTTATACAAACTAAATATCACTCTTCAATCTCTATAACTCATCCCTATATTTTAAAGTATATTTAACATCTTGTCCCATTTAACATTGCCAAGAGCTTTTTCAAAATGTACAGAAAAAATTGAAAAGTGTAATAACTGATTTTCAAAATTTTTGATTGATTAATAAGCCTATTGTCCGCGATTTATACTTAATGTTATTTTTCCACACCATTATTCAGTTGCTTACCACTGCTTGAGAAATAATGCATGTTTTAATAACAAAAGCAATACCTGACGTGGATTGACGTTCAAATATTAAGAAACACGAGTTGGTCAATATTTTTATAATTTGCGTTTGGACTGCTTTTTAAAGGCTTTTGGGCAGCACTTAGACAAATATGTATTACAGTATTCAAAGCAACTGGAAATATAATGGAAGTCGTCATCACCATCATCATCATTCTAAGGTCGTCAGTCTTAAGACTGCTTGGACACGCACCTCCACTTATTTCTACTTGAGCTAATCTTCGCATTTCCCCAAAACAAGAACAACCCACATCCTTAACTATTTTCGAACAGTTATCTAACCTGGGTCTACTTCTACTCCTCTTAACTCCTGTTTTTGCCTCCAATATGTCTCTGACTAGACCTTCATGCCTGAGAAGGAGTCCTACCAACCTATCTCGCCTACTTTGTATTGACTTCCGTAGAGTTCTCTGTTCTCCTATTCTTTCTAATACCTCTTTTTTTCATCCATCTCTATCCACGGTATCCTCATCATTCACCGGTAACACCACATTTCGAACGGTGCTTACGTTTTCTTTTCCGCCGCGCCCACTGTCCATGTTTCGCACCTGTATAACGCCGTGATTCAAACATACACTTTTAACAATCTTTTTCGAAATTCTAAATTAATCGTTCGCGAGCGTAGTATTGACTTCTTTTTATTGAAGACGACTCGATCTTCTTCTTCTTCCGTTCTGACTTATCTGACTTCCTATATACCTAAAATCGGCTACTTCTTCTAATTTTTCGTCTCATATCTTTATATTCGCTCTTTCTCTACCTTTTCTTCCCTTGCATATCAGTATTTTTGTTTTACTTTACGCTTCCATTTTATTTAAAGTTAACTCCTTGTTAGATACTAATACTGCTATATCATCTGCAAATCTAAGCATACTAATCTTTTGCCCTTGTATATCTATCCCTACAGTTGTACTGTCTTTAATGATGTTGATGGCGTCTTCGATGCATGTGGTATGTGCATTAAGATTAATATTATCTTTGCATTGCAGGAGTGTTGTGATTCGTATGTGATGTGCTGAACAGGAAAATGGATTCTCGTCTGTAGAAAGGTAGGATTTTGTTAATTTTTTATCTGTACACATTTCATCGGAATGATCTATTTTTATTGTCTTTATTTATCTATTAATCGATCAACATNATCATAATATTGCAAAAGGCGACGACTACTAATAATTTCAAGCAGGTACCTGTAATCGTTATTTCTTATTAGTATTCATAATTAAACAATCTTATGTTATGGCGAAATGTCTACTAATCTACTTCGCTTGGATGAAATTTAACGCGCCGAACATGACCGAGCAGAGCGCGAGAACTCCCGAACGCAGTTTCGGTTTCGGTCGTAGTGGCGGGTTTGCCGCCGAAACCGAAACTCGTTTTTTTGCCGAAACTCGACCGAAACCGAAACCGAACTTTCGGTCGGACACTACCCATTACCTATTGTGGAAAATGGGAAATTTATTTTACGGGTTTGATTTAGTTAATAGGTAGGTAATTTGTGTCAGATAAAATTAAATTAAACAATTTAAAATTAACATTTGTAACGACGTCGACTTTTATATTGTTTACATGTTTGTGCTATGGGAACCTGGACTATAAAGGATTCGACTTTTACCTTTTTTTTACGGTTAGGAACAAAACAGTAACTTTTCCCATAACAAAAATCTTGATATTTTTGCGCACAAGAACAGTGGTCTTGGTACATGGTACAAAATATTTTAAAAGGCATATCCAACATTACTGCGGCCCTGTTGATAACGAATAAAACATTTTTGGCCGGCCCCCTCCTCCTACACATTTGCGCTTCTCGGTACCATGACACCTTCTGCACTCCTCCCCCTACTTCGCTATGTCACCACTGTCAAGACTTGTAATCTACCAATTATGCATTATTACTAAAGCTCCGTAGACTTGAAATTCCAGGTAAGCTCCTTGAATATTATTAGCTGTAAGTAACATGTAAAAATATAATAAATTACGTTGCTGGACGTTTAAAATCATTAGTTCTACCAAATCCTACGTTTTTGCACGTGTAGCAATTTCGAGAGGTATTTCATGTTGAACATTAGAGGTAAAGGGCATCGAATAGCCTTATCAGATAACAGGTTAGAGAGCTTAATGTAAATACATTATGTTTTGTTTTCCACTTAAGTTCTGACTCATTTTACGGCTTGAAGAAATTTGCATTTTCGCCTGTGATGACCTTTAACTCCTTGAATTTGTTATTTAAATATTCACTTGTTTTACACGGGTATGTTAACGTTGCGTCGTGAATATTTTATGAAACTAATTGTAAGATTTATAAGTGGTATTCACCAAGGGTTTAGGTTTGCTAGTAGTGGGAAAGATTTCTCTAATATTGATATGCTTGTAGTAAAATTGTGAAATGTACCGCGGGTTTAGGTTAAGTTATGGTGGAGAGAGTCTTCCTAATTGACATATATAAATGGTTTAGGTTGGGTTATGGTGGAAAGGTTTCTCTAATGTGGAATGTACCATGGGTTTAGGCGAGAGAGGACGTCCTGATTGACTTGCGTATGCCAAGTGAAAAGTACCATAGGTTTAGGTTAAGCAATGGTAAAAGAGGAATTCCTAATTGGCATATGTGAAGTGCTATTAATGCAGCAGGGGTTGTTGATGGTTATGGTGGGGAAAGACTCTTTAATTGGTATGTTTAATGTGGAATGTATCATGGCTTCAGGTTACGATTTGGTGAGATTCGCTTAAAAAATAGCACCTTGCCTTTTAATGATTGAGTTAGTTTGTAAGTGCATGTTGTCAATTTTGATCTTTAGTGCTAAGAACTGATTAGTATTTGGATTTATATAGAAATCTTTTATAAGTTGAATGCCTAACCATCATTAATTACCATTTTTGATCGTGGGTTTAGATGAGGCAAGGTTATGGCGAGAAAGGTTTTTCTGATTGGCATATACGAAGTCTATCGATGCTGTGTTTTCTTCCGGGCTTTTTGGCCATGGTCCGTGGAATCTTGCTTTTCCAGATTTTTCGCCGTTCTTTGCTGCAGCACCTGCCCAGTCAGTACTGAAGATACTGTCAGCAAAGAACGGCGAAACGTCTGGAAAAGCAAGATTCCACGGACCATGGTCAAAAAGCCCAGAATAGACGCCGGCCGTGAAAGCCTAAGAGCTACATATACGAAGTCTGCTCAAAAAGTGTTGCGGATTGTGAATTTCTGCGGATTACGTATATTCGATTTTCAATTTTTTTGTGGCGTTATGTTGGTACTTATGTCTCTCACTTATACCGACAAGTTCGGCCATGTTGAATGTTCAGTTAATTTTTGACAGCTGCTTTGCTTGCACATGTTTTGGCTCGTCTTCATCTTTGCCTATTACAAAAAATTGATTAAAGAATCTGAATCTTTTGTGTGAAAAACACGGATGCATTCCGAACATTGACAAAATAGATATTCATGAATAAATAATTTTTGAAACAAAACACAAAATTCGCGATACTTTTTCAACAGACCTCGTATGTACACGCACTATCATTAACGGTATGTCTTACGGTATAAAAGTAAAACTAGGAAAATATTTATCTATTCTTTTAAAACTTGATGGCGAGTTAATTAGGAAGTGAAAATGGGAGGAGAAATCCAAGTGAATACAAATTAAAATTTTAAACACACTTTATTTTTTTCCCAGTACAACCCTGTGTTTTCTAAGTAGTCAGTACATTTACAATCTATCTCCATAAAAAAATTAAATCAGTCTATAGGTTCGTGTAAAGGTATGCAGTGTTAGTAGTAGTAGTAATAGTTGTTTTTATCAATATTGTCTACACCGGTTGACATAAATACGTCGTTAATAATAAATAATAATTAGTACAAAGACATTTACAACAAGTTATAGTGTTGATATAATTAATAATATACTTAGATATTTTTTTATTGGTGAAGTGCAGAATCGATCAATCGATTAACATGAAAATACACAGTATAAGAAGTGCAAAATCTGAAGGAGTCCAATTCCATGGTAAAGTGAAAACAATATCGAATTTTATTCCTAAAACAGTAGCGAATCCCCTTTATTCCCTGAAAAGAATTAGCAGCTACAATGTCGATCTATATTTGTAGTACTTATCTTACAATTAGTTTTGTTATTTTTATATTATTAACTGTCAGTTTCAAGCGGTGAAAAGTTAAAAAAGTATTTTGAATAATAGCATTCTTAAAAAATGTGTCTATGATATTTATTGTACTTTTATTAATTATACCATACCTATTATTGCAAGATGAAAACAATTTTTTTACAACAAAAAAATAGTCTTATATTTAATAGCAAGAAAGAATATTGAATGGCACATTTAAGCATTCTAAAGATACCTTTATTGTTTTGCTATTATATTTTTAAGATTTCATCATTTTATCTACATTAAAATTGGAATTATCCGTGACCGCGTAGATACATACACACTTACCTATAAGTATGTAATGTATATATTTGCAGTTAATCGATAATTATATGCGTTTGTTTGTGCTCACTATTCCAAATAACAATTTCGATTATTCTTTCATAATTCAAAATTTCCTAAACTGAAAAAAAAAGAAAACTAAATATCAAGCTACGTAATACTTACTGTGTATGACTTCATCTCCTTTATGTGCAATTTCATGTGCCGAATCTTTAGCCGTTTGAACAATAGTTTTGCCGCCTCTTATGAGAGGGTTGCTGCTCGCGCACCCCATGGTCGTGTTAAGCCTGACCGTCACGTAGGGATGGTGCAAACAAACTAGCCACTGTCCAGAGCCGACATTTCAACTCGATACCATGCTTACAAGCGCCCCCTATATCGTTAGGTGGTCGATTTGATTTATCTGATTTTGTGTTTTTTTACTGCGATTGCCTCGAAAGAACTATGTGTCTACGTACGATATCTAATTAATGTTGAGAAGTTGATCGAAATTCTGCGAATTATAAGTGTCTTACCGGTGTAACCGAGATGACGTGGCCGTAAGGGACGACGGCGACAAAGGAATTAATAGTTACGGAAAATTTTACGCTTAGTGATTGAAAAATCAATTATCCAGGTATACATAAGACACGTGGGTACTTTCGACTCATTGTTGTTACATAATTTAACGATTAAATGGCGAAATTATTATTTTGCAAATCATTTAGATAATTATGTATTTGTTATTCCAGTAATTGATATAAAAACAAATAGGTAGTATGAAAATATACATTTACATTTGTTTTTATTTGTCGCGACGACGGTGACGTTTTGATCAGTTATTGTCAACATTTTTTTTTTTAATTTAAGAAAATTAAAATTAAAGAAAATAATGAGGCGCCAGGTGTAGATGGGATTCAGGGAGAAATTGTAAAACACGCAGGACAAGTGGTTAGAGATCGTATGTTTAAGCTACTTAGTCACATTGACGAGATGGGGAAAATCCTACAGGATTATAAACAGAACGTGGTAGTAATCATACTTAAAAAGAGAGGCACGGATAGGTGCGATACATATAGAATAATTAGCTTAACTTCCCATGCGTCAAAAATTTCAACTAGAATTGTACAGAGGAGGATGGAAAAAAAGGCGGAAGAACTATTAGGGGAAGATTAATTTTGGAGTAGAAGAAATAGAGGAACGCGGGAGGCCATTCTAGCTTTACGGGTTTGGTTCTTGGCGTGTTCAATATTATAATAATAAAATCTGGTAAAAACAAATACTTATTTGAAACTGTTAGAGCTGAAGAAGAGTAAGAAGTAAACGAAGGTTGATTTAGAACTGAAGAATATAGAATTTGAATAATTTAGGAAAGTTATGAAGGTGGAGCTAAGGGTTGTAGATAAAAGAAGGGAACCAATAGTAAGAAAATATGATTTGAAAAATGCTGAAGATAGAAAATATAGAATTAAGTTGTTGAACCCAAATCACCGAAGAAACCCCTCATAAAATAGCAATTAGGACGGATAGCAAAGTACAGACGTCATGCGGTTAGTACGCGAAGTTGAAATGTTAATAGGGATTATAGGAAACTACAGTAATAAAAGTTATTGGAACAGATGGATACAATACAAAAGCTTTAGAAGACATTGTTGAGAAATATTTACACAGAAAAGGAATATGATACAAAAGATTTACATATTTACAAAACTACATTATATATACAGGGTGCTCTAATTTATGTTGGTCGCTACACGGGTAACAATAGAGAAAACGATAGAAAAAGGAAAAAGTGCGTATATAGGATTTATAGATTTAGACAATGTTAAATGAGATAGGCGAGATAGGTTAGTAGGACACCTTCTCAGGCATGAAGGTCTAGTCAGAGACATATTAGAGGCAGAAACGGGAGTTCGAAGGGGTAGAGGTAGACCTAGATTATATTACTGTTCCCAAATAATTAAGGATGTGGATTGTTCCAGTTTTAGGGAAATGCGAAGATTAGCTCAGGATAGGAAAGAGTGGAGGTGCGTGTCCAACCAGTCTTAGGACTGACGATCTTATGTTGATTAAATAGTAAAAATCGGATTATCTTTTGAAAAATACAACTACCTTGGAGGAGTGAAGTGAGTGAAAACAATTTGTTCAAAAGATTTTGAGTTCGGCTAGTTTAGGGAATTAGGTGATATTTTCAGATAGACGTGACGGTTGGAAAAACATATTCCACACGTTCAGCAAATTATGTATTTTTTCGTTCATGTGACATAAAAAGAAAATTTGGACAAAAAAATGTCATTTCTATGTTCGGTAATCATTTTGGCTTATCTTTATATGGATAAGATGAAGAATATTATTCGTGCACAAGAATATGAATACGTCACAAATTAGACTAGTGGAGGTGCGTGTGCAATATCGGTTTTTTGATTGACGACCTTGTGATAATGACGATAGTGGTTATAACTACCTATTCCTTATGAATCCTTGAAATTTTACGCCTTTTTAGTATTCCGTACCTCAAAAGGAACCCTTATAAGATTACTTTGCCGTCTGTCTGTCTGTCAAGACCTTTTCCTCAGAAATATCTGGAGATATCAGGTTGAAATTAATATCAAATAGTTAGGTCTGAAATCCCATGGAGTTGTAAAAAAAAATCAAACTTTTAATAAGTAAACGCAATCAAAAGATACAGCTGTTTATGCAGCATATTTTGACCTAGAATTTTTTCATTTTAATATTATAATTTTTTGTACGTTTTGGCGACTGATTGTGATTAAAACGTACTCGGTAAAAGCGGGAATAATCTTTGAGATTTAATTCCCGTGGCAGGCGAACTATTTACATACACGGTTTTTTATTTGGTTTAATATTCGGTGAAGGCGCCTGACATTTTTGAATACAGTAAATAAGTATGAGAACGTACCCATACTACGTGACTCGTTAGGGATGGGGGTCATCAAAAGCGTAGGTTTTCGTCACGTAGTCAGTATCTTTTAGGGAGCTATATTGGAAACTTTCTGTTTGCAAAAAATGATTTAAAACCATATTTACTACGGGAAAACTAGAGAGGAAGGGGGCTCTTGACATATAATACGGGTGGTCACCGAGGGGGTATCAAAAGTCGTTCCCCCATTACTAGTGTCCGACCGAAACTGGTTTTTACGACCGAAACCGAAACCGAAACCGAATTTCGGCAATGGTCTCAGTTTCGACCGAAGCCGAAACCGAAACTTCCTTATATGGATCATGTTTTGAGAGAAAAATAAAGAAAACGTTATTATAATCAGTCAGTTTTATTTTTTTGTCTTTAAATCACATAGCTGTGCAGTCATTGACATTTTCACTTATTGATAATCAAATCAAAACCCACATAACAACCCCTCATTTAAGAAAATACTTTAATTGTGCCTTAAAAATTCTTAAAATAGGTGAGATGTTTATTTGAGTAAGTATAGTAGACTAGACTCATTTTTCTTTTGAAGATTATTCATGCTTTTTTTTATATAATATTAAACATAAAATTACTTTTGTTATTGTTACCTAATATCACAATAGGTATAGGAACTTAATATTTAAGTAATAAACAAAACAAAATAAATCACTTTTATCTTAATTAAGAACAAATTAACTTCTTCTAAACTTAATTCGTCATGTTGAATGACACTAAACTTCAACAGAAACAAAAGGTAAACGACTAAATTATAAACTAATCGCGATCATAATATTGTAAAAGGCGACGACTACTAATAATTTCAAGCAGGTACCTGTAATCGTTATTTCTTATTAGTATTCATAATTAAACAATCTTATGTTATGGCGAAATGTCTACTAATCTACTTCGCTTGGATGAAATTTAACGCGCCGAACATGACCGAGCAGAGCGCGAGAACTCCCGAACGCAGTTTCGGTTTCGGTCGTAGTGGCGGGTTTGCCGCCGAAACCGAAACTCGTTTTTTTGCCGAAACTCGACCGAAACCGAAACCGAACTTTCGGTCGGACACTACCCATTACCTATTGTGGAAAATGGGAAATTTATTTTACGGGTTTGATTTAGTTAATAGGTAGGTAATTTGTGTCAGATAAAATTAAATTAAACAATTTAAAATTAACATTTGTAACGACGTCGACTTTTATATTGTTTACATGTTTGTGCTATGGGAACCTGGACTATAAAGGATTCGACTTTTACCTTTTTTTTACGGTTAGGAACAAAACAGTAACTTTTCCCATAACAAAAATCTTGATATTTTTGCGCACAAGAACAGTGGTCTTGGTACATGGTACAAAATATTTTAAAAGGCATATCCAACATTACTGCGGCCCTGTTGATAACGAATAAAACATTTTTGGCCGGCCCCCTCCTCCTACACATTTGCGCTTCTCGGTACCATGACACCTTCTGCACTCCTCCCCCTACTTCGCTATGTCACCACTGTCAAGACTTGTAATCTACCAATTATGCATTATTACTAAAGCTCCGTAGACTTGAAATTCCAGGTAAGCTCCTTGAATATTATTAGCTGTAAGTAACATGTAAAAATATAATAAATTACGTTGCTGGACGTTTAAAATCATTAGTTCTACCAAATCCTACGTTTTTGCACGTGTAGCAATTTCGAGAGGTATTTCATGTTGAACATTAGAGGTAAAGGGCATCGAATAGCCTTATCAGATAACAGGTTAGAGAGCTTAATGTAAATACATTATGTTTTGTTTTCCACTTAAGTTCTGACTCATTTTACGGCTTGAAGAAATTTGCATTTTCGCCTGTGATGACCTTTAACTCCTTGAATTTGTTATTTAAATATTCACTTGTTTTACACGGGTATGTTAACGTTGCGTCGTGAATATTTTATGAAACTAATTGTAAGATTTATAAGTGGTATTCACCAAGGGTTTAGGTTTGCTAGTAGTGGGAAAGATTTCTCTAATATTGATATGCTTGTAGTAAAATTGTGAAATGTACCGCGGGTTTAGGTTAAGTTATGGTGGAGAGAGTCTTCCTAATTGACATATATAAATGGTTTAGGTTGGGTTATGGTGGAAAGGTTTCTCTAATGTGGAATGTACCATGGGTTTAGGCGAGAGAGGACGTCCTGATTGACTTGCGTATGCCAAGTGAAAAGTACCATAGGTTTAGGTTAAGCAATGGTAAAAGAGGAATTCCTAATTGGCATATGTGAAGTGCTATTAATGCAGCAGGGGTTGTTGATGGTTATGGTGGGGAAAGACTCTTTAATTGGTATGTTTAATGTGGAATGTATCATGGCTTCAGGTTACGATTTGGTGAGATTCGCTTAAAAAATAGCACCTTGCCTTTTAATGATTGAGTTAGTTTGTAAGTGCATGTTGTCAATTTTGATCTTTAGTGCTAAGAACTGATTAGTATTTGGATTTATATAGAAATCTTTTATAAGTTGAATGCCTAACCATCATTAATTACCATTTTTGATCGTGGGTTTAGATGAGGCAAGGTTATGGCGAGAAAGGTTTTTCTGATTGGCATATACGAAGTCTATCGATGCTGTGTTTTCTTCCGGGCTTTTTGGCCATGGTCCGTGGAATCTTGCTTTTCCAGATTTTTCGCCGTTCTTTGCTGCAGCACCTGCCCAGTCAGTACTGAAGATACTGTCAGCAAAGAACGGCGAAACGTCTGGAAAAGCAAGATTCCACGGACCATGGTCAAAAAGCCCAGAATAGACGCCGGCCGTGAAAGCCTAAGAGCTACATATACGAAGTCTGCTCAAAAAGTGTTGCGGATTGTGAATTTCTGCGGATTACGTATATTCGATTTTCAATTTTTTTGTGGCGTTATGTTGGTACTTATGTCTCTCACTTATACCGACAAGTTCGGCCATGTTGAATGTTCAGTTAATTTTTGACAGCTGCTTTGCTTGCACGTGTTTTGGCTCGTCTTCGATTTTTGCCTAATGCTTTTAATTTAGAAGAAAA